CTAACTGTAATTATGCAAGGAAACTATGAGAGTAGTTAATTATATTAATTAATTAAATTAGGAGACTAGGGACACGTTTTATTCACAGGTTACTAAACGGTGCTTATTAAGACTCACATTAATAAGCGGCGCATAAAATAAGCAGTGTTGTAACCTCATGTTTACTTCAAATGATTTAAAACATCGTTTAACATTTAAATGCCCAAAATAATCCTATACATATATAGACACACAAACATTCATGTACATAAGTAGATAATATAATAAGTGGGGCCACCTATGCGCGTACCCATACCCATACCCATACCCTACCACTAACTCCCCTACATGTACCCCGCCCCAACCCCTACCCTACACCCTTCCCCCTTCCCCCTTCCCCTGACCCCTACCCTTCCCTACCTCTACCCCTACCAAGACCTCTTACTAGTGTACCCATACCCCCTGCCACCTAACCCCCTTACCATTACTTGTACCCGTATCCTTCCTTACATTTACCCCTACCTTGAATAGTAGGTTCGCTCGTACCCCTACCCCCTAGGGTCGAGGTTAGGGTGGTGGTAAGGGTGAGGATGAGGGTAGGTAGGGGTTGAAGTAGTGTATAGTGGGTATGGTCATGGTAGGGTAGGAGTAAGTGGTAGGGTGGGTTAGGGCGGGATAGGGGTACATGGGTTGGGGTATGGTCGAGGTAGGGACAGGTGGTAGGGGTACATGGGTTGATGTAGGGGGTAAGGGCTACGTGTATGAGGACGGGTAGGGGTGCGAGTGGGTAATGGATATGGTTGGGGTAGGGTGGTAATGGTTAGGGGTAGGGGTAGGGTGAGAGGTGGGTGGGGATTGGGTAAAAGGTTATGGTAGGGGTAGGGGTTAGGGGTAAGGCTAAGGGAGGATGTGTAGGGTGGGGTAGGTGTGGGGTTGAGGTTGAGGTAAGGTAGGGGTGGGTAGAGGTAGTGTTATGGGGTAGGATGGGGGGGGTCGGGTGGGGTCGAGTAAGGTAGGGTAGGTTAGGATGGGGTGGGGAGAGGTAGGGTTAATGGGCGGTGTCGGGCTAAGGTAAGGTAGGTTAGGGGTAGAGGTGGGAGTGGGTAGAGGTAGGGGTAGGGGGTGTTGGGGTTCGGGGTAGGTAGGGTAGGGGTACGGTGTAAGGGCAAGAGGTAAGAGTAAGGGTAAATTCGAAAACTGAAAAAAACTTAAAGTGCCGCTTAATTAGTACATGAGGGGTAGTATGCTTAGTAAGCGGCACTTTGAGCACCTCTTTCGGTTAGTAAGCGGCTTTTTAAGCGACTTGCGTGTTTACTTCACATGTCTTACTAATTTAACTATGACTTTAGCAGCGAAGTAAACACGTCATAGGAGTATGTAGAAATGTAATGTTGAGAAAAACTAAAGATATAATCCTATTTTTGGAAGAATTATATGCTTCAGTCCCCCATAAGCAATTTCCTCATATATTTTTAAAGTAATTATGACGCAGTGTGTTTAATACTGGGATGACATTTATACTATTACCCACATTCGAAGAATTTTGAATCGGCAATCCATCCCCCTCAAAGTCTTTAACAAGGCAGTCAACCGTGCAGCACGATACACCAGTGAAGGCAACAACAACTCTGAAACTACTCAGTTTACACATATCTGAAACAATCCATCCCTTATGTTGCTTTGTAATTTGAGTAGGCTTGTTTAGTCCTCCTACTCTTTCAATTCTAATTCCATTTCTTTTTCATAAATTGGTATTTCTAATAAAAAAAAGTCATTGCATATAAGAGTCACAACTTTCTCTTATCACTGTCTCATCGGTGCTAGGGGACCCTCAGAATGAGGTGTCATCCATATTTTTAATTATGTAAATCATTATTTCAATTTAAAAAATGCTTTGTATTTTTTTAACATATATCACTACTTTACTCAGAGAGATTTCACCAATGATATTTTTATACTTGTATTCATTTTCTTACAACACAAATGCTTGAAACAATGCAATAAATGAAACACAAGCATCGCACATGCGGTGATGCACGCCTTTTGTCATTGGTGGATCAATTCAATTGAGATGACGCTAAAAATTAGAGTTGTCCAACTCTCAACAATGATTCCAGAATGAATGAGAGAGAAGGTTTGGGCAACATCCTACCCCACCTATTTAGGCACGTACCCTAAAGGAATTTGTCATATTAGCACTAACAAAACAAAGACAATAGTTTGTGGATAGACAAATTAAAGGCACCAAAGCATGCATAAGTTCTGAGGACAAGCCATTAAGATAAGGCACGTTATGTGGGATATTAATTAGTCTTTTATTACCAACTCTAACATCACTAACTTTTTATATTCCGGATTAATGCCCTTCACACCTTTTTGTTCTACAACGGCATGTGCCACTAATTAAGTGAATGTATTGTTTAGATGTACTTTTTTGGGAAAATGGTACGTTAAGAGTGCTTTCATCCCGACATCCGACCTGGATGTGATCCTTGCAATTAACATTATTATGTTATCAAATGACCAAACAGTGAACCATAATAAATTAATAACCAATGCCATTGAGCGCTTACATAGGAGAAACACTGGAGTAATCAGTAATGTCAAGTGTTGGGACTCCGTCTTTTGACTTATTCTAAAACATGTAAACCGTATTTTTGTGAACTCTAAAGTTGTATAATGTGAATGCTTAGCTTCTTTTAGTGATTAATAAATTACATAATTGCATATTTAAATAAAGTTTGAAAATATTTTTTGGATATTATCCGATATGATTAATTGTGTATAATTTATTGAAAGAATGACCTTAATATTACGTCTAAAGTTTCAGTGGATACAAATATGACTAATCTTTTTATCCTATTGAGCTGCCCATCCACTTCGCTTATCCTAGGCCGCACTCTCTCCTTTACTTGATCTCCTTCACGCTCGAGGCCACCAACCTCGTTGTCGCTGCCCTCAGATGGGAGTCCAACAGGTCTCACCATCATCAAAGGAACCTTGGTAGTATATTCGGGATGCCTGATGGCGGTTGTCGTCGACGGGTGCAGAGCGCTCAAAACTCAGGGTTGCCTAAGCCTACGCCGCCCAACCTATGCCCGACCTCCCCCGCCACGTGCAGCCCCCATCGCCATCGCAACAAAGATATAGTGTCATATATGACTGCTAGGGTTTAAATTCGAGGGGGGAGGGCGTGGTGTGTTTGTGATTTTAAGGCAGCACGCGGCGGCGGCGGTGTGGCTATGATATTAAGGCACCGGCACGGTGGTGGTTGGCTGGCGTCTAGGGTTACGATAGGATGGTGGTTATGGGATGAAGGTTGGGGGTTGACCACTGATCGAGGTTGAGGGCTGGTGGTTAGACACAGTGGTGGGGTCATTGTGGCAGCGTCACAGTAACCGGGGTCACTGTGTCATTGTGGGGCAGATTCGTTGTGCCACTGTGTCTGGCGAAGGTCACCCACCCCTATTGGCGATGGTCACCGCGGTGACGGTCACTATGTCGGTGATCACTATGGTGGATCATGTCACTATCAGATAAAGACAACGGAGACTAGGATAATTTAGTCATTTTTAAAAAGGTCACATTTTTAGAAATTAAAAAGTCACCTTTTTGTCTATTACAAACTTTTTAGTAATATTTACGTCAAAACCGCTACATTATATCAGTTGTTTTATTTTATCCCTATAGAGAGATTTTTCTCCTACGTAGTGGTTATAATCTTAATTATTATGTCTATACGTATATACTTGTCTTATATGAATTTTTAAGAAAAGTTGAAAGTCATGTAATTAATATTGCATTTATAAAATACAAATGAGTTATTAATATATGTATGATCACGCAAATACTACTTAGGATTTCTCTCTCTGACCTGGTCTATTTAATCTTGTCTGGTTTAGTTTGATCTGAATATGTCTTCTCTGGTAGATGTATGTTTTATGGGTATTTCATAATTGTCAAAGTCTGATCCGGTCTTTTATGTTTTTGTCTGATTTGATCTAGTTTGAATTGATCTGGTCTAAGACTGAAATCAGTCCAATTAAAAGTAACTCTAATATATTATAAACTATCTTTGCGTGCTATTAAAAAGGAAAGTTGAAAGAAAATAAATACAAACGTAAGCAATACTATAATAAGATCAGACTCATTAACTAAATGTGTGGCCATGTGCTACTACAATCACTATGAAGATACTTCCATGGTTTCATAAAAGAAGACACTTTCATGGTCAATACGACAATGTAAATTTAATCATTTATTTATTGTGAAAACTAATGATTGGTGTGTAGTAAAAGTTACTTGTTGCAATGCCTAAGCTATGTTCTAATCATATGCTTTTCATAATTATACTTCTCTACACGCCATTAAACTTCTTGTTTGAAAGGTAGCTGAGTAAGAAAGTTGGGTTGAGGTATCAAATTTAATGTGATGGTTGCGTGTGCACACTCGGCCGTGAACTTCTTCACTCTGAAATCGTTACGTTTGAGATTATAACATGATTTAATTTGCTCCTCTACTATTCTCTCAGATGGGGGTGTAGGTGCGGGCGCTCACGGTGGGCGGTTCTACCTTTTAAGTTTGAGTTGTTAGAGTAGCTATTCGGCAAATGAGTAAAGGAGTTGAAGAAGAATAAATGTGAGCGGTATTTAAGTACAGAATATATGAAACATACGAAGAATAATTTAGTTTCTTAAAAGAAAATTAGAAATTTTTCGGGCAACTAAAAGAATATACGTAGTACAACGTATAAGAAACTTTATTTTGGGACACAATGACTATAATGATATGGTTAGACCAAAAATTAACAACGAACTTTTATTTTAAACAAATAAAATTGATCATGTGTTTTTACTTAGAATGATTTCAGACTAGATTAGATTAGACATGATCAAACTTATGGAGAATAGATCATAATATCATATCACTTAAACAATAGGAAGATTACTTCAAACTATCATCAACTCTGTGTAACAAGACCAATTTAAACCATACTTAAAGGTATTAGATTAGACTATATTATTTTTTTTATCATAAGAATGTGTATATTAAATAATCAGACTCAGAGACATTCGTCTTACAAAACGTAATATGACTCGTTGATCCTATAATGAGCATAATTAATGCAAAGACGGTCAAAATAGACTTTCCATCACCCGAAAAAAAAAAAACTACTTCCAACACACACAAAAAAACTAAAAGAAAGCCACAACTAGTGGAGGTAAACTACTTTCTCGCTGATCCTTCCATGTGCCCCGAATCCGATCGGTCTTCTCCTTCCAAGGAATTCATTCACCAAGGAATCTATTCTCCAAAAGCTTCATGGAAATATGAAGGAGCAGGCCAGGACCAGGCCATCTATCATCTTTGGTCAAAACATTCAAACATCTATGCCAGAGTTGGGTTTCATGGTGTGTGGGCTGTGACACACTTTTTGGGTGTATTGTGTGCTTTGATGGAACTAACAGCGGGGCTAAGACTTGCTGCTGGTCGGGGAATATGACGGACACAATTAAATCATGTCGTTTTGATATTACACTAAACTAACATTTTTAAGAAAAAAGTGAGGCGCTAGTTGTGTCAAATTAAATAAGGATCGCGTATGAACATGAATCATCTATTTATCATTATCAATCATTCAATCGTTTGTTCCCTTACCAATTCTACTAGCAACCAATACTTTACAAAAAGTATTTGTACACAGTACACATTAATACACAGGCAACTAGGTAGTGTCTACAACTTATGTGTGCAAATAGAACCACCCTACTTTTTAATTGTGTTTTATTTCATCCGTCCTTTAAAACTTGACCAAGCTTTAGCGGCACAAACATTAATAAAGTGAAAATTGTGTGGTTAAGATTTGCGTAGAGAAGAACGAATTATCTGAAATCACAAATTTTTTATTTAAAGAAAAAGTGACAAAATTAGTAGGACAACCAAATTAAATGAGAGAGTTAACTAAGTTTTAAGGGGCGAATGGAGTATTTTAAAACGAATGGAGTCGAATCAAATACTACTTCCGTAATATTCATATCTTCTCATTAAAGTAGCTGTGATTACAAATAGTGAAAGAGAAAACAAATTATTGAGGATACTTGGAAAGATAATTAAATAGTATGCTGGAATGAAGAATAAAAAAAATTGTTGTAATAGTGAACATATTTTAATTTGAATTATTTACAAAATTATTGAGTGTATGATGTAAGGTTTAAAAATGGGAAGATATGAATGTTATGATTGAAAGAATAAAGGGAAAATGTGAATTTTATGGAGGAATTAATTAATACTTTTTTTATCTTATTTATTTTAACTGTCTTATTTTCCTTTCTAAACAGTTAAAACTTTCTTCAATTCAGTTTAATGTGGACTACACATACATCTCTTTCTAGACATGGTAAAATATGAATGTTTGGCCTAAGACTATCCGCAACCATCCTCCGTCAATAACGTAAAAATCCAACCAATTTATACCAAAATTATATATTCACTTTGTCAATTCAATTTTTCTCTGCAATCCAACACCGTCAATATATTCACCTAACATTTTTTTTAATTAAATCATTACTTTTAGATATGCTATATGGATCTCATATGTTTATTAAAAATATTCTTTTAACTTTATAAACTTTTATAAAAATATAAACTTTTATAAAAATTGGAATATAAATAAAAAAGTTATATCGCTTTTGCAAATATTCATTTTTATCATTAACTTGATCACCTACTTTTTTGTTCATCTCTCCACATGTTTCTTCTTCCTTTTTCTCTCTTGGGGTGAAAAATGGGTTGGTTAATCCTCACTCAAAGCTGCCACGAATCCATTACAACCTCTTCAAATATCAAGGTTATATGAAATATTGGGTTGAATAGTTGAAATATATCCCTTTCCACCCCTGGATTGCAAATGGTCTAACAATTAAAACTTGAAATAACATATCGATCATCAACCGATCAATCATGGACTAAGGAAGGTCGAATGGAAATATGTGATTATTTGAGTTGCGATTAACTAAGATTATTCTAAGAATACTGAATGTGAGATTACTAGTTGTCATTAACCAATTCTTTAAAGAAATTAACAAAACAATGACCTCTTTAACTTTATTTTGTTGCTCATTGAAATTTGTGTGTCAATATTTGAGATAGCATTTAAAATGAAAGAAGTCGTTTATCATTAATTAAAAACATACAAAGAAAATATTAAACGTGTAAGATGGCTATTCTGCACGTATTAGATGTGTTATTTGTGTAGGTGTTTAGATGTGAAAAATGTAGCGATTCATAGATAAGCGTGTCAGCACTCCGCAATAGCGTGGGCAAAATCTGTTTTAAAACTTTATCATCAACCGATCCATCATGGACTAACAATTTTCTAAATTTAAAATCAGCCCAAACACTCCTATTGGGTTGACAAAAATCAGCCCAGGCTATTAGGCCGGCCTAATGGGCCAATCCATTAGCGTTCAAAAAGCACTGCTTGTTATGATCAACTTAAGTATGTAGCCTGGTATATAGTAGCACGATTTTGGTATACGAATATAAAAACTTCATTTTTTATGAAATAATATACTCGTATAAGAATGATTATCAATTTACAAATTACTTCCTCAATCCCAAATTGTTTTGCAAAGTCAATATTTTTTGGTCAACTAACAATAAATGTCAATCGTCACTATTGATATTTAATTCCATTTTTAGTAATTAAAATTTATATATTCAGAAAATATATTAAAATCTCTTCAAAATTGTATACTTCAAATTAGAATATAACTTAAATTTGACATCCTAATTAAGCGAACAAAATGAAACTATTTGACCAAGAAAAATCAAATTTGCAAATCAATTTGAGATGAAGGTAATAACTTTTAAAGTGATGCGGCTTCTATGCATGTGTTTATTAAGATAAACATTTTTTATGCAAAAAAATAGATTGATTGCCAAGTTAAGAATTAGCATACAAAGTAATCTAACGTTAGATTACTTCTACGTGCCAATGAAAAGTTAGTTACTTAAATCTATATCAAAGATTCATATAACTTAATAATTAGTACGTGAAATTTCTAGTCTTGACTCATATAACCACATCAAATGAAGAGAATAAATGCGATGGAAACTGGCTAAAATAACTAATGAGAATTTAAAAGACAGTCATTTGTGAAGGATGCACAAATTAATGATTCCATCATGGAAGCATTCATTCAAATTTCAAAAAGATCAAATAAATACAAACTCCTTATGAACTCAGTCCTACTTCAAGCTAGGCGGAGCGCCCGGGTGACGGAGGAATCAGTCCACCCTTTGGTAGCATCGCCGAAAAATAATCTGGCGGCGGCGGAGAGTCATTGTTGTTGACGACGACCACCGTCTTCAACCTTCCTCCGCCACTTGCATCCACGCCAACAACAATGCCGATGCTGACAACAAACCAAATGACAAGAAGAAGTTTAATGGAACCCAAACCTCTCCAGCCGCCTTGGTCCTACTCATCTTCTCGGCAGTTCTCGGTCGATTTTCAAGCAAAACAAAAAATGATATTACGTGATTATGTCTTGCCTGAAATTGTTTGGTAGTGATATACGTTGTGAACAACCCTTTTATAGACTTATGGCGTACTTAAAATATAATCACTCATGATAGAATCTTTTTAAAAATACATTGGGAAGGATCACTCACACAATCCTAAGTATGCAATTAATGGTTGCAACTTTTCATTGGGAACTTTCTGGGCGGATCCAGGAATATGAGATGTAATGGGCTAAGTAGGAATTATACTAGGCTTAAATATTGGCAGAGTGAGCGAAACGTTAAAAGTGAAAAAATACACACTATAAAAATTGAATAATTCTAAGTTGCACTGGGTTTCAGCCTAGCATAGCCCGTACATAGATCCTCTCCTGAGAACTTTAAAACCCATGCATTGCATGCAACCGTGTAAATAATTTTTCCCCACCAGCCACCTCAATTTGAATCCTACGGAGTACTATATTTGTACGTGATTAATGGATGCGTCGTTCTATAATAATTTCTTCTTCTATTTGAATTCTTATTAGAAATCTCTATTAATAGTTCAATACCGGATAAATGGCGGCATTCTTTCCTCCAAAATAGTTAAATCCCAAATTAAACTTAAGACCCCCATGTCCCGACTCGATAAGACATATGAGAAGTTGTAATTCACGGTGAATTAGTCAACTAATGCTTATAAACCAATATAAAAAGAAATGTTGACTAAGTTTTAAGGAGAGAATGATTGAGATTTGCACAGAGGAGCACACATAATAATATTGAACAACAAATTCTTTACTTAAACGAAAAATTACAAAGTTAGTGGAACAACCAAAATGGAAAAGTTGACTACTCCCTCCGTCCCTTAAAGGTTTGCCATGTTTGACCGGCACGTAGAATAATAAAGTAAAAACTGTGTGGTAGAGATTTGTGAAGAGGAGAGAGAAATAACATGAGCCACAAATTGATTGATTAAAATGGAAAGTGGCAAAGTTTTTGGGACAACCAAAAAAGGAAAGTTGGCAAAGTTATAAGGGACGGAGGGAGTATGTTTTATGGGGCAAATGAAGTATTTTTAATAGAATGGAGTCGAATCAAATACTACTTCCGTAATATTCATATCTTGTCATTAAAGCATTGAATAGTGAAAGATGATACAAATTTTTGAGGATATAATGAGAATATAATGAAATATAGTACGTAGTATATTGCAATGAAGGATAAATAACAAATAGTTGTAATAGTGTAATATTCCAAATTATTTATGAGGATAAAATGGAAGATTTAAAAATGGGAAGATAAGAATGCTACGATTGAAAAGGAAAAATGGAAAATATGAATGTAATGGAAGAAGTAATTAACTGTCTTATTTTCCTCTCTAGGAAGTTAAAACTTTCTTTATGTGAAATAATGTGGATTGTAACACATAAAAAGAATATATAGTAACTCGGCCATAAACTACTTAATTCCATTTATTAATTTCATAGTAATTTCATAGTAATATATATCAATGTCCTGCCGAGCCCTCTTTCTCCCGAGTCCACGGAGACAAAAGAGACAAAATGTAGAACTGGTACCAAAAGTTTATCACGGAAGATAACATGTTATCTCGAATGGAAAGTTGTGATTATTTTTTAGTTACGATTAAGTAAAATTATTCTAAAAATACCGAATATGAGATTACGAGATTCCATTTTCCCAATTCTATAAAAAAAATCAACAAACTGACCTTAACTTTATTTTGTTGCTCACATCATTGAAATGTGTACGTTATGTGTGTGTCAATATTTAAGATAGCATTTCAAATGAAAAAAGTTTTTTTATCATTAATTCAAAACATACAAAAAAAAAGATATTAAATGAGAGGCATAAGAGAGACACTACAAAAAACACGAAATTGGTAAGGATTTTGACAGAAATTTTGGCAGGGATTTGCCAAATCCGTGCAAAAAAAACTTTGGCACGAACTATTTGACACAAAACATCGGTAATCCGTGCCAAATTTCCGTGTCAATCCCGTGTTTTTCTTTGTAGTGAGAAGAACATGAAGGGGGAGATGTGGGGGTGGGA